TATTTGTTAAGTCTTTGTATGTTTAATTGCCTTGAAATTGTTTTATCCATAATAGATATGCTGTGATGCCGTGACTATGCTCTTTTAGACCGCAAATTGTTGTTTTCTTAAGAACGAACATAGTTATCACCATGAACCCTTAATAAGTCCCATTATCAGGCACAGGTCTCCTCTAAGCATCCCCCTGGTTCAGTACCAGTTTCAGACATCACAAATTTTCAACGGACCTTTGACAAGCACGTTTCTACACGATGAATTTTCTTCACAGTTAACGTGAGATGGCTAAACGTCACGATTGACTCCAACAATACATACGTTACGATTGAACCATTCGGTTCATCAGATTTTTACCAACGCATATACATATATAGCTTTTAATATATATATATATATATATATTTTAAAGTCCACATAGAATAAAATTCTCCTTAATTGAAACCTCAATTGTAAACGATGCTTATAATATCCGCCATGACGAGAATTTTTAACCGTATTTTGATTTTCTTCCCTGACCCACGTGTCCTAATAATACTGATGTTAAAGAACCGCTAAAAGAACCTGACGGGTTAGAGTGTGGTAAGCCAGAAGCATTGACTTACAATTATATGGACGTCGGGTCCGCGCTAAAAAGTGTCCGAACTTATAGGGCGTTAAAATCGTATACAGAGCGTCATTCACGCTCTAGTCTTCGTTTGTTCGACTGACAGCAAAGCAAGCAAAATTAGACAGTACTGCGATGACATTACAATTTAAATTCAACGTTTTAGCTTTGTCATATTCCTTTACATGTCACTACGTTTAAATATGTTGACTTGGGACATTTTTTTCGTGGTTTTTGTATTAGACCCGTCGTCCATTTATTTGTAAGTCAATGGCCAGAAGGTACTTTATTGTAATGGCAAAGAAAAGTTACCAGGTAAGATACGTTATTTTAAATTTGTGTTGAATTGATATTCATTTACTTTTTGTGACATTATTCCTCTAGTTTGTTATAGTTACTAATACAAAGATCGAACACTCAGAAAAAATTCGTTCGATCCGGCCGGATTCCAACCGACATCTTCTAGCTTACCGTGCCAGACGCTATACCAACTAAGCAACGGAACGAACCTGCGGAACTCATGAATTTTTCTGTGCTTGGGTCGTATCTTTGTATTTGGTTTTTGCAACGACTTTTTAGTCGTAGCGGCACGGTAAGCTAGAAGACGTCAGTTCGAATCCGGCCATCCGGCCGAAGGAATTTTTTCTGAGTGTTCGATCTTTGTATTAATAACAATAACAAACTAGTGGAATAATTTCACAAAAAGTAATTTCAATCAATACAAATATTTAAATACAGTTAATAGCGACATCTCTCGCCAGGGCTGGTAACTGCAAAGATATCTCACTTTGTGATAAAACTTTCATCTCGCCTATCTCTGTGGGTGTATGCGATAGACGTGTCCAGCCCAACCCCTTTTCAGCTTAACAGTCCTTTTTCCATATCGCTTGTTGAGGTAAAAATCTACTTCTTATTGTATTGACGGCATGCACCATAATGCTTGTTATCGCAGTGGAAGGATTTGCCAATGGCATAATTTACTCGCCGATTGATCGTGTGGGAGGTTCCTTTCGAGCAACTTAAGTTAAAATAAAGGCAAAATAAATTGTATCAAACCAAATATACTTGATTAATTTATGTCTGTTGGCGCTATTGGGTTGTTATATTTATGAAAGTGCATATTGTTAACGAAATACTGTTTATTGTTCGTTTGTTTACTGCTCGTGTTTGATTTGTTTGAAGCTATAGGTGGAAACCTGTAACTGGCTTTATGTTTCATTCTTCCATGTTTTTATTAAACGTTTGAAACTGTTGGTTTTCCATGAATAAATAAAGCAATAAATTTTTTAAATACATCACGAGATTTGCTTGATTAAGCGAATTGCGTGTAAAGCTAAATTGACCATGAGTTTAGTATTATATTATAGTATTATTACAAATTATTGCATGAAAAATGAATAAAAATTAAGAAAACTTTTTATGCCACAAGGCGGATGACAGTGATTCAAAATTCATTCTTGTAACAACTTCGTAACCTGTGTACCACAAAATAATGATGTAAGTAATGATTCCCTGGACGAACACTTTCACAAGGAGCTCTGGTTATTATTTATTATTATTGTCGCAGAGGCTTCATTCAGGGCTGCCCCTTCATCACTGCGACCATCAACTATTGTGATCACCACTAATTACAGTTCAGAGTCAAGGCCGACGGCATTGAAGAACTGAATGTATTTCCTGGCTCCTACAGATTATAGATCCTCTGCTTGTGGCATGTGCCTTCCCAGTATGGAGCTTCGTACGCCCATCAAGAGTAACATTGGGTGAGAATATGAACAGGAGTTTCATCCGCCTTGTGACATTCTCTCTCTACCCAATATTTGACACGTGCTAGCTCTACAGATACAAAAGGCCAAAAAAACTGCGAGATATGGACTTCACACGTTGTCCAAGGGCTACCTACCTTTTCCAACGTGCAAGTTACCGGAAAGTTTTGTTATTAAAGATTCACAAATCACGTACGTAACTTAGAATTAAAGTCATAGGGTACATGCCGCAGGGACTCGAACCATCGACCTCTCAATCTAGAAGTAATCATTTTTCCTATGTATAAATGCAAATATTAGAGACAGAAAGAGAGACCTATAGTATTTTAATCGAAAACGCCTGACGAAACTATAATAGCAATTACGTAAGCCTTTGTAAGTAATCATAACAATATGTGAATTCGCTACAGCATTCAAATTCATTAAAATGTTGTAAGAAAAACAAAATCTCAACAAATTTCAACCTTAAAAAGAAAAACACACGTGATACTTCGCGACGTCACTTTAATGATGTCACCGTGCGAGCAGCTGCTGTTTAGGCCTCCACGGCTGGCCAAAACGTTACTGCTTTACTGCCTCAACTTAATTGTTTTGCTACATTTTTATTTGTTATCATTGTACAATGATATTAATAACAATACTAACTACCAATAGAGTATTATTATACTTACAACCTGCGCTCAATAATAATTTGGTTAACTAATTAAATATATTCAAAAACATTACATACCTGGCAACATCCATATTCCATTTGTCTGGCGCCAATTATGACAAAAAAGACAGTTTTATTTCGTACACTACATTATTTTTTACGTAATTTATTTAGTGGAAAATGAAACTATGTTTCGGATCTAAATCGCGTATATTTATTTTGTCGAACAAACCAACGAATCGGGTACTTCAATTCACGGCTAAAACGCATATTACATTATCCGATTTTAGGGGCCCTGTGTCAAGGGTTAGCGTGGGCCCTTCGCCACTTCTGGCGCCACGCTCATTACCTTATAATAAGTCGCCAAATTAGGGACCCTATCTTTGTAAGATTTAGGGTACCTTGAATTCAGTGAGTGTTTTATTAATAATACAATAATAACATATAACAACGCTTTTAGGATGCTAATGGTACTGCCGTGACACTGTAAGTAGTGGCATGTTCACGGAGGCGCACATAGATGGCTTTCAAGCCATTATTCGCAAGAGGGCTACCTCACTCATGATGCGTGTGTGTGGCAGCGCTAATAGCATCCTAGCCGTTGTTGCCAACAGCCTGGACTGCGCCTACCAACAACATTGGGTGCCGCTACAAGTGTGTAGGGTCTAGACATGGCATTTCTCTAGAATTAAGAGAATTAAGTAACTTTGTATTGTACTAACCATAGCACATAGCATAGCAGATCATGGTCTGAAGTAAATAATTATATTCTATTTTATTACCTTGTACATAAGACGACCAATTAGGGACCCTATCTCCTTAACTACAATCGCACCTCCTAATGTAAGATTTAGGGTCCCTTGAAATCGGGTAGTGTATTAATCGTTTTATTGACTTATATATAAGTGGTACAATTAGGGACTTCTTCATTATGTTCTGAAAATTTTTACTTTTCGAATTGCGCCACTTTACTATCGAAGGCACGGTTTATATTTTATAAAAATGACGAGATACCAACTAATGGTGTGCTAAGTCGTAGACGAGCTAACTTAAGATAATAAAGTACTCGATAAACTATTTTCACGATAGCGTGACCTTACTAGAGGCTGCGTCCAGTCTTGCACGTACCTCTGGCCGCGGCGGACTGGTTTTAGTTAAAGAACTCGTTGAACTGCGTTTGTGACTTTATTCTTAGATCTGTGTTTATTTTGATAATAATGGAGATGAATACTTTCGTTGCGTTAAGTTTAATAATACTTCACAATTATAGTTAGTAATTGTATCTAGTCTAATTAAATTTTTTTCTTTCGATAGAAAAATTTACTGAGTAACATAAATTGTGATGATTCTGCAACACAATAGAAAAAAAAACAATTTGTTATTAGACATTCATGAACAAGAGCCATTTTATTTAAAGACAGATAAATTAGAAGTAATATGTTAATGATTATGAATAGTTGGGAAGTCTTCAAATGCTATTTGAATTAATCCGTAGATAAAAATGTAATTAAAATATTAAATTAAACATTTAATTTAACATAAAGCAAGTTATATTAAAACAGTAATTTAATGAAATTTTTAATTTAATAGAGTGCAAATAAAAAAGTAAATTCATTGAACTTTTAATTGAAGAAAGTTCTAATAAATTAAATAATAATGGCAAGTGTGAACAAAAGTTACGTTGACACCGAAGATATGGAAATGAGCAGTACGGAGTCTAAGATGGAAGTCCAACATAAATATGGTTATGAAGAAGCCCTAGAGATGACTGGTAGGGTTTTAATACGTATATGATGTAACTAAAATTTTGTGTGTGTGATGTAATTAATGGTCGGAATTCGGAAGTTTTTATACATAAGGTTCTTTGGTAAAACTTTAATAAAGTTATTTAATAAAAATTCCTATTATTAGTATTGTCCGCAAACGGGTTCGTTCGCTAGCTTCGTTGCTTATCTAACAACTCGAGCCGGTTGGATTTCTGTGACGTGTCACTTCCAGCACAAATGCAGAAAGTGGTTCTGGTCCTGTTCGCCGGTTCTTGATCCTGAGTCTCTGATCTTGGTCGAATGTGCCTTTGCCCGAGATCCATAATAATAATAACTTTATTCACTCGCACAAAAGCAGTGGTAAATAATACAGTACAGAGAAATGTTAGTAAATCGTATGTAGCGTATAAATTGGAATGCTCTTTTGTGAATTAAAAATAAGGAATTTAAATCATTGACTTACAAATAAATGGACGACGGGTCTAATACAAAAACCACGAAAAAAATGTCCCAAGTCAACCTATTCGAAATTTAAATTGTAATGTCATCGCAGTATCGCGCTGTCAGTCGAACAAATGAAGACTAAAGCGGAGTTTGGCGCTCTGTACCTATACGATTTTAGCGCCTTACAAGTGCGGACACTTTTTAGCGCGGACCCGACGTCCATATAATTGTAAGTCAATGATTTAAATTAGTACATTTTGTAAGTACAGTTGAGTAGAGAGGGTGGTTTGCATTAGTATTGGACATAACTGGTTGATGGCTTAACCACCTGAGTCATCTATACGTGTCAATATTGACGTACTCTTGGTCCTATACATATTTCAATAATTAAGAGCGAGAGCTTATAAATCCATAGTCTCTGTCTATTATAGTTACAAACGAAAAATTAACATTGTAAATACATAACTTTAGATGCCAAACCGTTGCCTTGATGACGGATCGCTCATTTGGTACTACATTCAAGTAATTGTTATTTTGGTAAAATTTAATTAAGTTTGTTAACAAATGTGTAATATACTATATATATATAATATACTATATATAATATAGTATTTGTTAACCCGTGTTTCTCTCTCTCTCATCTGAGCGTCGTCCCGGTTGCGTCCTCAGCAGTGTTGTTGCGGAGCCCGGGGTCCGCTTTCCTGCTTTTTCTCCTCCACTTTGCACGGTCTTCAGCATCCTTAGTGGTGAGACCATTGAGACCATATAACCCGTGTTTATGTTTGAATAAAAATTGGCAGTAATTTTAAACATATTCCGAGAGGGTGTCTCACGGCTATGCCACACGGAGAGAAAGTATCTTAAATACCATAGATAGAAAATTTTACTGAAAGAAGACGATTTTACTGAAATTTTACTGAAAGAAGTTGATTTTAAAAACCATTCGAACAACATTCAAAGATTTTTTTAATAATCGGCTGTCCGAACCGGGAATCAAACCCAATAAATGTGCAAAAACAAGCACCTAACAAACAAGTAAATTTCATGGTCTTCCTTTTATATAAGATGCTATGTTATTTAGAGGAAAACAATCCTTATAACTGAGGCTTTCGATTAGTATAGTAAAATTGTAGGTGACTTTTTTTCACATTTGTGCGGTTCGACTCCCGGTTCAGTCAGGCGATCAAAATGAAATGTTCTGTCAGTAAAATTTTCTATCTACGGCATTTGAGGTACTTCCCTGCATGCGGCATAGCCGTGTCACGCATGTAAAAACACGCAAAGTTTTACTGACACATCATAAATTTGAAATAAAGTTAAAAAATCAATGCAACTCCATTTCCTGTAACATTACAAGAAGTACAATTGCGTCAGTGTAGCACCAAATGACGGTATGTCATTTTGCTCTGGGAAAATGCTGTCGACATGATAGCTAGATAGATAGACCCCAGAGAATCTCTAGCATCATAGTTTATAACAATATAATTTTATTTACGTTAAGAATAGTAATTTAAAAAAATGAGAGACAATATAATTACGTGCTATGATAAATTGGCTGTTGTAATCGTCTCCGCAACGTCACAAATTCATTGAAACATGTAATCGCTTCCATAAAAAGAATTCCCATTAACATTCAAGATTTGCCATTTGCGAGGTTTAAAGTTATTGTGAAACAAAAACTTTATACAAAAGATTATTGTAGCACTGCTCCAGCGTCAAGTACGTTTGACAAAAACTCACCACCATTTTTTTAACCCGCAAAGGAAATACTCCATTGCGTAGACATAGGCAACCTATGTGTGTTGCCAACAACCACAAATTATACCCAAACTCACTAGAGAAATAAGGACATACAAATAATAAAGAGACAGTTTGATCCATTTAACTCTATGATGTTTTTATCTATGATGCTTAAAAATTAATACAATATTATAATAACATATTTCATACTCGTTCTTTTCAGGGGAACCTGTTTTACGAATAAATAGTCGTTACAAGTTTTTCCCAAAGTTAGGCTTAAAATAAATTACAATCACACTTTATTATAATTATTTAAATATTAAATTAAGAATAATGATAAATTTTCGTAATAATGAAACTGCTGTAGTCTAGTTTATAATTTTAATATTTGTTGTTTTACTCATTCCACCGGTTTTAGCTTCGTAATTGTCACGTATACCGCTAGAGGCCGCGACGCGAGTCCTTCCGAAACTTCATCGCATTCCACCAATCCATGACATTCAATTATGATTATTTAATTATGTTAAACACAAAAAATAAATACTTTAGTTATATGTTTCAATTAGAAGTACTTGTATTGAAAATCATGTCAGTGACGTTTTCTTTTCGTGGTTACCCATTACGCCGCTAGATACCACTACAGGCGAAAAATAGTTTTAGCGGGTAACAGAAATAGAGGTATGGTGTAAAATAGGTGAAATAAAACTAGTACAACCATTGACTTACAAATAAATGGACGACGGGTCTAATACAAAAACCACGAAAAAAATGTCCCAAGTCAATCTATTTAAACGTAGTGACATGTAAAGGAATATGAAAAAGCTAAAACGTTGAATTTAAATTGTAATGTCATCGCAGTACTGTCTAATTTTACTTGCTTCGCTGTCAGTCGAATAAACGAAGTCTAAAGCGTGAATGACGCTCTGTATACGATTTTAACGCCCTATAAGTTCGGACACTTTTTAGCGCGGACCCGACGTCCATATAATTGTAAGTCAATGAGTACAACTGTGTGTTTTGTAATATAGTGTGTCTTCATTTCAAGCATAATTTATATTTCGAATTACTGATTTTTTTAATAATGGCATCTAGCTTTTGATGATCGAGAGCATGCTCCTCGGCCACATTTTAGTAAAGCCGGCTATCCGACATGCATGTCATTTTACTCCTTTTGTGTTACATTCGTTTAGCTTATTTAATTGTAATGACATTATTTTTTTCTAAGCCGTTGTGGTGACAAAATTCCTTTCCATTTTCAAGGCAATGGCAGATACAATATCAGCCTCCTGTTCGCATGCTTCATCGTGATGACGGCGATGGGGATTGACATCTTCGGGCTGGGCATCATCGTCACCGCAGCCACTTGCGATCTGGGCATGACGCTTAAGGAAATTGGTGTGCTTTCTTCCATGCCCTTTGCAGGTTAGAAGGCGAAACAAAAATTCACAATAATTAAAATAAGTGTTTCTATCTGCACGAAATCAGCGTCATGTCGGGTGTGGATACCAACTGAAATTTGTCCATAAATGGGTTAATTCTCGCCTTACAATTTGAGGCGGTTGGATTTCTGTGATATGTGGCTGCTTAGTTATAGAGAGACTTGTCTCGATCCTAAAAAATGGAATGCCTACCTATAACGGCTCCTTTAATCGCAATAATCTGAGGGACTGTAACTCAACTGCATAACATTAAAATGTCCCATGTGCCTGTATTTTCACTAGCTGCTTTACTCTTCAAAACCTTCAAATGCTCACATCGCTGATTGGCGATAGAAATAGATTTGGTGTCCGTACTTCCTTGGATAAATTCTTTCACAAGAAGTTCTAATACTACTAAACCCCAATGGGAATCCAAGGATCTGAATATAGGTATGTATGTTGGAAGCTATCGTCTAACACGGAACTCTGTCAGAGGAGAAGTGATGACACAAGGTAAAGACTTTGTACACCGTAACTTAACGCTGTTTTTTATATAAAAATATTAGTGCGCATTTGACCTCCATCTCACCTGATGGAAAGTGACGATGACAGAGTGAGATGAGACGAGAAGACGTTCAGGGAACGTTCGCCATATAAATGTGGAAGCGCATCGTGCGAATCTTTGGAATATCCACAACATAAGTGTGGAACCCAAGTCTACGTCTAGTCCCCCAGAGTTGAAAAGGGGAAGGCAAAATTAAATCATGTTATTCCATCCACACTCTCCGTGATAAATCCTGTAGAATACTGATAAGCAGGCAACTTTACGGTGGTGTTCAAGGCTCTGCAGCATCCATCTACTCTTTCCGAGTCACCTAAAAGCTTCTTGACACGCTTGTCAATTGAACTCAATGTGGCCAGTTGGTATGTAGCAGAGCCATCCCAAAGGTACTCCATGCACGATCGGACTTGTGCTTGGTACCGCTGAAGCAACTGTCCCGGTGTAAAGTAACGCCTCGCCCTGTGTCTCATAGTTTCTGCTGTTCCAAATTATATTTAGTATTCCACGAGAGACCGTTTAACTGTCAGCAAATTTAACTTTACGTTTGCAGGTATAATAGTAATGTCGTACCCTTGGGGCTATCTGTCCGATACTCGAGGTCGTCGACTGGTGCTACTGTGGGCAATGTGCGGCAGCTTCATCAGCTCGGCGCTCAGCAGCCTCGCTCCTACCTGGCAGCTTCTTGCTGCGCTTAGATTCATCAGCTCTGCGCTGTAAGTATTATTAAACATCAAAAAGTTCAAATTCAAAGTCATTTCAAGTTTACTTCTTCGTGATACACAGGCGAACAAAAACGGCATCCTGACCCACTGTAATCCGCCTTGCGGCGCACTCAGTTGTCATAATTATTATGTAAACGCTTGACCAATAAATTGTACCTTACATTCATGAAGTCCAATCAGTCACAAGAACTCAAACATGATTTAAAATAATTATAACTTTTTTATAAATAACCGACGGCAAAAATTCGTGGGATTACAACTATTGGCCAAGTTTTATTGAAATCGGTTTCTGGAAAGTGGGCGTAACCGGATTTATCCCCCAAATTGCCACCCTTAGAGGTGGAATAGTTTCTTCAAATATAAATGCGACCACTACTGAGGTACCCTCTTTCCAACAAAAAAAGAATTATCAAAATTTACGTCTCCCGGAGTAATCGCGTAAAAAAAATTCAATCGGATTGAGAACCAACTTCTTTTTTGAAATCGGTTCCAAATAATAAATCCAAACAAAAAAAGTTTTTTTTAAATATCAAGTGACAAGATGAATAAGTGTTTCTGATGGTAAGAGCCACGCCTGTCCATAAGAATAGCAGTGCCACTCAGAGCTTTAAACCGCAAAAATCTGTACAGACGACAGAAATAGGTAAGGTGGCAGCAGGTGTTTACTTGGACAAACTTATTCACAAAGAGCTCTACGTTATTAAAATAAAATGCCAATTTTGTGAGAAATATGTTACTGAGGTAATTATTGTAATGATTAGTAGTCTATTGAACCTTCGAGGCCATTTCAATTACAGTCTATTGAAAGTAAATCTGACGATAATAATATAGAGTTGCATAGTTTATATTATGTCATTCAAGCAAGTTTTTATCATCGAAGACTACTTTTATTCTCTATGTTATTTATATTTTCATATATAATTAAATTTTACAAATTAATTTCATCGCGTTTGAATTATTGATTGACTTTTTAGAATTGTACGTACAAGGGGCCTACCATAGCCTTTGCAAAAACAATCTAATTTTCAATGTAAGCTTATAGTAAGCTTATTACAATATTACTCATATTGGTACCATGAGCAACCTGTCAACTAAGTAATGTATTTATTATTCTACAGTGATTGAAAGAACGAATGATTTCTTAATATTGTCCATTCCTTACTAAAAATAGGAAAGAAATGACGCTTCTATCTCTTTCTTTTTTGATGTTGTAAGTACTTAATGTTATTTACATTCAGAGAATTTTAACTGTTAAAAAAGTAAAAGTATGTTATAATAAAATCTATTAAAATTACATTGTTTTCAATTATTTTTCCGCATTTTCATGAAGAAAAATAAATAAAGCAAGCTGAGTCTTGATTATCACGTTTAAACCCAGAATTATAGTCTAGTGTCGAATGTTAGTGTCGCCAAGGAGCAAATAGATGTCGCTGTCATAATTTTACGAAATAAACATCAAATTAACTTTTAATCAATACAAATCAACATTAAGACAATAAAACTGAAAATAATATTGTTTCCATTGCGAGTTAAGAACAATAACTATTTTAATATTGCTAGATTTGACATAAGAGCAATATTACTTTAATGTTAAAGTCGCGTCATAGTTTCAACATTATCGTAAGCTTATTTTATTCGCGTCATGGTACGAACAGTCAATGTAAGGTTAAAGTAATATTGTTTTGAGAGGTTGTGGTAGACCCTCAGTATATGTTATTACAGCCTTGATTCTAATTTAATACTATTAGATGTCACTTGCGGCGACGAATGCCATTACAAAGATCTATAACAAAAACACATAGGATTAATTTGAAAGCTCGACAACTTGACCCGTGGATTAGTTGGTAAGAGCAATACTACGGTGCAGCATTGTCGTGGGTTCAAGTCCCGTCGGGTGTTCGATCTTAGTATTAGTAATCTTAATACTACAGGCCAAGTGCGTGTTATCGGTTAAGAGATGCAACCTCATATCTAAGACTTGGTGTCGAGGCATTCATGCTGTCTAGGTTTACTGCGAACTTATTCATGTTTATATAACACGCGAATATTTTCTAGAAAACATGGGACCTTTCGGCTCGTATCAACTTTGTACGTTAGACAATTGACTTAAAGCTCATCATAATGATGCTATGGTTACAGCAATTTACTTCCATTCCGTTGGACGAGAATTCAGCAACTCTTTTCCTTAAAAAACACCTATGCAACGTAGTAACAGGTCCATAGACAGAAATCATTCGAAGTTAGTGCATAGAATTAATTTGGAAGATTCTGCATTTACCAACTTGATGTTAATAATGGCTGGAGAAATATAATAATAATACATTTATTTCAGATATATATCCATATGTAGTAGAATGATAATCATCTTATGAGCTATGTTAGTAACATTACAATATAACAAATTAGAAATTCTCAAGTATGAGGAAAACTGACAAATGCTCCCTCGCTTTCCGTACATGTGGCCGTGTCCACTGGCTGTCATTTGTATCAGCCACCGCGTTTGTAGGCTGTTGACCCTGCCTCACACACGCATCATTAGGGATGCGGCAAACATCCCCGATACACTACAGTAACAGATTATTAGTAAAGGCAGTCACTCCGGGGCACCTCCAGAATCTCCTCATCCTGCCGAACGAGGTCGTAACAAACAATATAAAT